GTCCACCACTACTCTCTGGGTGTGCCCCATCAGCCAATTTTTTACCCATCCAACTGTGCAGGCATCAATGCCACAGTTGCTTAATTTATTGATGAAGATGGGGTGAGAGACAGTGTCAAAGGCCTTCTTAAAGTCTAGAAAGACTACGTCCATGGTGACACTGTCATCCAAGGATTTAGTTACTTGGTCATAAAAGGCAATCAGGTTGGTCAGGCAGGACCTGCCTTTGGTGAAGCCATGCTGATTGCCCTTGAGCATGATCTCCCCTGCAGGCCCCCCACAGATGTGCTCCTTGATGATTCTCTCCAAGATCTTCCCGAGCACCGAGGTGAGGCTTACAGGCCTATAGTTACTTGGGTCCTCCTTCCTCCCTTTCTTGAAAATTGGGACCACATTAGCCAGTTTCCAATCCCCCGGCACCTGGCCAGATGACCACGAATGCTCATACAGCCGGGCCAAGGGTTCCGCGATGACCCCTGCCAGCTCCCTCAAAACCCTTGGGTGGAGGGCATCTGGACCTGCAGATTTAAAAATGTCTAGCCCTTCCAGAAGATCCCTAACTACATCTGTGCTGACTGAAGGCCTGATAGAGCTATCCCCAAGATTGTATCTACCTCTGGTAGGCAAGATATCCCGGTCCCTGTTCAAGAAAACAGAGGCAAAGAAACTGTTAAAAATATCAGCTTTCTTGTCTGGCGTAGCCACAAGATTACCGTTTGTGTCTTGCAGGGGCCCTACATTGCCTGGTGCCCTCTTCTTGCTCCCAATGTACTTGAAAAAGGACTTGAGAGAGGACTAAAGAACGAGTGAAGCCTCAGTGGCAAAGCTAATGCCTTTAATGTCTGAAGCTGCAAAATACACCTTTCCTCACAAGAACTGTGCATTTCTGCAACCTCCTGCAGTGCAAGATCTCAAAGCACTTTACCACCCTCACTGAATAAAACAGCGAAGCCTGTTTGGGGAAGCAGGGCTGCTTTCACCCCTGTAGATGAGGAAGCTGTAGCACCAAGAGCTCCCATATTTCTGAGAAATGCTGCAGAAAAGCCAGGAATAAAACCCGGGGTGAAATATTTCCATTAGTGTCAGTGAGGCCAAAACTTCACTATCATTCTCTTCCTGGAATTTAGTGTATTTTTTCAGTTAAGTGAGGCCTTTACAGCTATGAATACTCACACTACTAGACAGACTATTAAAGGATAATGATACCATGATGCTTCTCTGCTTTCTGCTTTGGATTGTAGAGGAAAAAGATTGTACATATATATTAAAAGAAAGGAAAATGGAATACAAATGTAAATTGCTGTGAAGAACTACATTGAGCAAGGGGCTTGAACATCATTATAAAACCTACTGTACAATGCTTGAGTGCTTTGTAATGTTACCAGAAGCCCAAAATGTAGTTATAGCTTTGCTCACAGTTTTGTTGTTTTTTGGTTTTTGGGGCCTACAAATTATTTGTTCTGCTTGTGTTAGCAGTGAGCTACCAACCAGACCTATTAATTATATATACACTTACATGTTGGCTGGGAACATATATCAACGTCAGGGCACTAATAATGTTATAAATGGTATTTCATAGACACTAGGACTGGAAGGGACCTTGCGAGATCATCAGGTCCAGTGCCCTGCCCAAGAGGCAGGAAGTCAGCAATACTGATATTAAGTATACTATGTATGAAGTCCCAGAAGGCTGGAGAAAGAAAATGCTATATCTACATTTCGAGACATGGAAAAGGAGGACCCAAAGAATTATACAGAGTCAGTCTAACTTTGATACAAACAGAACTACTAGAATAAATTTTTAAACAATCAATTTATAAATATTTAGAGGATGCTAAAATGATAAAAAAAACAACCAATAAACATTTACCAAGAACAAATTGTAACAAGCCAAGTTAATTCCTTTATTTAACCGGATAGATGGCTCAGTGGATAAGGGGAAGCAGAATATGTAATATAGCTTCATTTCAGCAAGGCTTTTTGACACTGTCTCACATGCCATTCTCATGAGCAAACTAAGAAAATACAGTCCGGATTAAATCGCTCAAAGATGGGTGCACAACCAGGTGAAAAACCACACTCAGAGTGTAGCACCGGGAAAGCATTTCAAGTGGGGTCCCATTAGGTCTGTTCAGTGCCTGATTCTAGTCAGTATTTTCATTAATGACTAGAATGATGGAATGAAAAGTAAAATTTGTGCTTGGCATCTGCATTTGGGATGACAGGGTCAGAATTCAATACCATCTTGATAAACTGGCTACAAAAAGATTAACTTCAATTAATACAAACACAAAATACTATTCAGAAGGTAGAAATCAGATGTGCAAATCCAAAATGGGAAACAAGTAGAAAGGCAGGTATATGCAGCAAAGGATCTGGGAATTGTAGTGTGTCAATATTCAGGGCATAAAAGGCAAACCTCATTCTGAAATGTAAATGGGAGTGTTGTATGTAAGACATACAGGATAATTATTTCACTCTACTTGGTTCTTATGATGTCTCAGTGGGAGTGCTATATCCAGATGTGAGTACCATATTTTAAGAAAGATGTGAATAGATTATCAAGAGCCTAGAGGAAGTGACAAGAATGGAAAGTGGCTTAGAAAATGTGACCTATAATGGTTGAAGAAACTCACTGTATTTAATCTAAAATAAAGGTGTGATAACAGTCTTCCACTATGTACAACGTTATTTGATGACTGCTCTCCATATTTATGAGGGGGGGACAAGGAGCAAAAACCTCAAGTAGCCACAAAGTTTAAATTATTTACTTTCTAACTGTACGAATAGGAAAGCATTGGAACAAATGGTCTAGGGAAGCTGTGAAATATCTTTCCTTGGAGGTCTGTAGGGATAGTTTAGGTAAACATCTGTCAGGGATTGAACAGGTGTCCTTACTCTCCCTCACTGTGAGCACATGGACCAGCTATGGTGGAGGGCCCCTCTGAGCCTACATTTCTATTACTGGTATTAATGGGCTTGTCTTTGTAACCCCTCAACTCAGCATCCACTCACACCCATGTTAGGTTTTGGTGCTGGTGTGGGCAGGTGAAACTGCTCAACTCTGCAAAGCAGAAAGGATTTTCTATGCCTAAATCCTCTTTGGTCAAGTGATTTTTGGGTGTAAAAATGCAAACACTCCAACAAGAAAATACTGGGATTTTTCACCTGAGTGTATAGTTGTTAGGACAGTGGTTTCTACCTTTTTTTCATTTGTGCACCCCTAAAAAAATTCAAATGGAGGTGCAGACCCCGCTGAATCATAAGTGTGCATAGTCACATACTTTTGATTGCTCATAGTCATCTTTTGAAGACCTCTTAGACATAGTCTTAGACCCCCAGGGGTCCACAGATCACAGGTTGAAAACCACAGTGTTAGGACATCAGAGCTGGCCTCTTCCACAGGACAGCATATCCACAATGGAAACAAAACTGTCTAGATAAGGCTTTGAAATGATAAAAATGAAAGTAAGACTGGAGTAAAATGAAAGGGACAGAACAAGAAGTAACAGTCTCAAATGGGAGATTCAGGCTGGATATTAGGAAGAACTCATTATAATTATGAGGGTGGTTAAGTACTGAAACAGATTACAGAGAGAGGCTGTGGGATCTCCATCC